TAAACATCGAAACTTCATTTTATTTTTTTTTAAAGAAGTAATTCAATTAGTTCGCGAACTTTTTGATCACCCCTCGTATATGCAAGTATTAGGAAGTAAGCACATTTTTGGACACAACGTAAGTCTGCAGGATACAGTTTTAATGATCATGCATCATGCCATACATTTCAATGGAAGAGTGTCTCACAAATAAATGATTAATTTGTAATTTAATGTGTACTATACATTCAACATTCAACATGTTACAAAGATTTTAGGATGACCAACCCCATGACATCTTACTCAAACAATTGTAGCTTTAGATGGCAAGAAATTTTTAACTAAAACTCTGAGGTTATATCACAGGTAATAAACAAACTGTCAATTTAGACATTTTGAGGTATTCTCACAGATAACAAAACTCTACTGTTCGTATAGACAATCTTAGGTAGTCTCATACTTAGAGGGTTTTTATCACGGATCTAAATTGCATAAAAATGAAACACTATTATATTTTTGAAACATAATTATCTTTTAATTAAAATAATTTTCAAAATAGTCATAATTAGGCGATAAAACACCCATAATATTGAGTTCTCGAAGTAAAAATCTCCACTAATTAGATAGGGGTCACATGGTACTGAAACGTCATAGGTGTCAATGGTCAATTAGAACTCGTAAAGCTTATCGTAAGAGAAATATATCAATTAGATTTTGACGTTAAATATATAGACAACACAATAGGGTCGGTGAAAATTCTTATTCTTTTGGTTATGGACCGTCAATCTTTTATGTATGAACGTCTACAAAGAGAAATAACCAAGAAAATTTGCTGATAATAGAAGAGGACACCGCAGACGAAGCCGTTGACAACTCGGGACTTCGACTAAATAGAATGAATTACTAAAGTTTGACCTTGTAAATATTTATAAATATGAGAATTTTAAACTCAACTTCTTCATTATTTTAATGAATTATATATAAATAAATCCTGTATATCTTCTATTTGTTCCAGTGAATATCATATACTAGAAATGACACTTTCTTAAACAGTGTTCAATGGTACCGTACGCCATTACGAAGTTCACAAGATTCCTACTAGATTTTGTGCCACTTTAAAAATGCGTGTTGGGTGTATTTTTTCCTTTTTAAAAAGATACCATGTCCTTAAAATATTTTATAGTACAGAAAAAATAGCGATCGGGCATAAAAGATTGTTCTGAATGGAGACAAAGCCCTTGCTTTAGCAGAAAAAAAGATCCCCCTTCCGCCATGCATGTCTAGGAAATGTGAAAAAAAGTGTTCCTAAAACCTTTTTTGTGCACATTGGTTCATTCTAAAGCCACAAATTATACCTTACTATCTGTCAATTATCCAATTATCACTTATTTATTGAATAACAGTTTGATAGACACAAAAAATGAGCCGTTTTGTATAGACATTAAGTACTTTGATTGACCACGATTGACACCTATGACGTCAGAGCAATGGCACATAGCATCGGCGATCAAAATATGCATATTGAGAAATTCAAACTTTGAATCGCTGCAACATCAACAATTTAAATTTTCTAGCAAAGATTTTTAAATATATGACTTAAATAGCATGTAAACTATGTCATATCAAAAAATTTTGAGACGTGATAACAACCCTTTAATAAACTAAAATGCATGTTTAATTTTTTTTTAACAACTGCATGACAATCTGCAGTTTCATTACAACACCCCCCCCCCCTTCTAGCATCTTCAGGCAATGATAGGATAAAGGGACTGATTATAATCACTGAGACTAGTAAAATTGGTAAATCACATCATTTTATAACTTCTAATTTGATTACTGAGTTTTATTAATCATTTTTATTGAATCATATCTTTTTAACAGAACTTTATTGGCATGATAATTCTTTTGTTAGCTTTGAACTCTTGTGGCTGTTGGTTGAAGCACTTAATTTGACTTGGATGTGAAAACAAGCATTTCTTGTACTACAATCTTTTGCTATATGTCAGCATCATCATCCATCTATCCATATCCAAGAACATCACCAGCCATGCGCATCACATCATTTAACCATCTGTTGTCGCCAGAGATTATGTATTCCAAAAAGATGGGAGAATGGGATTTTTTGTGCATTAATAAAGCAAGTAATTTTATTGCCATTTCATTCTAGTGTTTATCATTATCACACACTGCCTACTAGTTTATAAAAACTCATCTGGTATGTTACCAAACTTTTAGTTGAAATGTCATGCTGAGGTTAAGGTTTCAATAAATATAATAAAGTAATGAGCACTAATGATAAAATATTCCGAAGTAAAATTGCTGAAGTAGCTTTTCCTTGATTAAATTTTGCTTGATTAAGTAATGTGATAAGTTCCTGGCAAGGTATGAACAAAGATCTACTGACGATGTATGAAAAGCAAGGATTTAGTCATAAATGCGGCCTTATAATAAGAATTCAATAGTAAACATACACATATGTTTATACAATACTTTAGGCATTTTGAAACCTTCAAACATTGTATTTAGTGTTCTGGGTGGAAAATGGCTGCAAACAAATTTTTGTCATATTTATAAGTAATTTGCTATCATAATGATCTAGAACAGTTAGGCATTTACTATCCTAATGCTGCTGTGTTGGATCAATTTGTTTAATAGTAGCCTATCATGGTAGCATTGTCTGCATCCATATCTTTTGGCAAAGTGTGCTATGAGAAAAAATTTAGAAGACTGCAAACTGCCAATGTGAATGATCATAACAAAAATTCATTGTATCTCTTGATACAGTGCAGGGAACTAATTTTGTTACAGTATCTATGCTGATTTGAATGCTTCATTTGCTTGCTGTTCTAATGCTAGTTATCCTTATCCTGATGCTATCCTTGCTTTTTTATAACTAGGTCAATGCTACCGGAAGTAGCATTATGCTACTGGAAGTAGATAACTGAATTTTAGCATTGCAGTTTAAAGCAATAAATATGTCTTATATAATCAATTTATCATTATCTTTCATTTTATAGTAATATTTTTTTTTATAATTTAACCAGTTTTCTTTCCCTGTTTACATTTTTTTACTGAAGAAAAACGCATTGATTTTCTGATGCTAGTTAGGTCAATGCTGATTTCTAGTAGGTCAATGCTGGTTTTATTCTTTGCTTGCTGATGCTGATCCTGGCAATGCTGTTTTTTAAATGCTGATTCTGATGCTAGCTGTATGCTGATGCTTATTTTGCTGATGCTGATTTCTGTAACAAAATTAGTTCCCTGCACTGTATAACCATCATTATTCAGAACAAGATTACAAAAATATTTTGTATTTAAATAAATGGTTCTTGAAAGTAGGTTTAATTGTACAAACTGACAAAAAAAAACATAAAGAGAAATTAATGTCATTTATTACGATTGCGGTATCAATGTAAACAATTAAACACTAAGAAGATCAGACACAGATGGTCTGAATGTAAGTTAAAATATAATAATGTCTGATTCCCAAAAATTGACTTTAAGAAAACGTCTATAAAAGAAGACAATTAAAACACCATGAGAAATTAGTAAACAAGAAAAAAAGGGGGAGGGGGCACATCAGATCAAAATCAACAATTAGACACATGATATGCAGATAATATCTGTATAATCCAAGGTGAGCTTTCACATATCATATAACAAAGCGTTCATACACTACACAATATTACGTATTAGGTATGTTACTGGCTTTCTACAGAAAAACATCGGGTAGATCAATCTCATAGACGGCGAGGTTCCAGTTGATTTCTTTTCTGGAGGATCATAGTGTCAGAGATATAAACACAAGAAAGGTCTACAGCAACGTTTTTGAATATAATGGACTTTCTTTGACCTTTTCAAGTAGACTATTTAAAAGGTTCAAAGGGACAGAGTAACGTTTGGTCCGAATGTGATGAAGACCTAACTGTTGATTTACATAAGGTTGTAATGAATCAAAAGAGACATCGAGTATTTCAGGTTTATTGTAAGAGCGATGCCCATGACTACGCTTACGTCTGTGTATGGTTAAAAAGTCCAATCACATTTACATTCTTACACTGTGACCCAAAAAGAAAATTAAAAGTCATGAAAAAAATAACTGCTTAGACTCCGGAGGCGTTAGAATCTTTCTCTCAATTGTTCGGATTTTTTCAATACAATAACAATGCACAAACACTTTCTAGCCTACCGTAACAAAAAGTATGTGTGGGTTGGAAGGGGGGGGGGGGGGGTAGGGCGTTTGAATGATATAAAATACGCTATAGCAAAACACTATTTTTTAAACAGTAGGAGTACCCCCTGCCGAACCCCTTAGTACGACAGGCCTGCAAGAAGTGATGATCAAGATGATTGAAATCATCATAATTATTTATAGTGTCCTAACATCTCGACTATCTATCGTCAGTGTCGAGTTTCATCCAATTTCACACAGTGAGTCAAGCTCTTCAAAATTATCGATCTTACCTTTTACCGACAAGTAATCTTGGAAGATCTTTGAGACACCTTTGTTTACTTTTAATAATTTGTTTCTGTTAATTTTTCAAGGTTTTTCCTCTCTCGATTGAGCAAATCTCGACACACCGTATTACTTCAATCGGAACATAACTCGGCCTTTTCCGTCAAGTCAAAGGCCGAGTGATGTTCCGATTGCATATCACTTGTGACGCAGCCACAAAAAAATCTGACGTCAATTCTTAAAATGACCGCTACTCTAATCTCAACTAGAAAACATGATAGAAAATGTTTTCTGTAATAAATTATTTCTTATATCGAAATGTAAATGCAACGCGCCGGCCATATTGCCAGATATTAATTCTCACCTGCCGGATATAGAAATGTAGCCGGCAGTCACGTGTTGCGTTTAAACCAATAAGGATGCGACATTTCAGTCCGAGGGAAAATAATAAGATTTAATAGCAATTGATAAATATTCTAGTTGAATATTACAATAGCAATTAAATCGCGAAAATCTTTAAATCAATCATTACTTCTAACCATTCCTCATATCAAAAATGTGCTCTTTACACAACTGCTGCAATGACTTCCATTTCACATAAGACAATATAACAGTTGCTATTTGTTGATTTCAGTTGCAGTTGGACATAACGCCCAAGTAGGCAGTCTTTGCAGACGATAGTTTCATTTCTTGCTTGTAATCCTTCTCCACATGACGTCATGTCGTTCCAAGTTGTCGTTGCTCCAACTCGGACCTCATATGTCTGACATGGTTCATCCCAAAACCAACCTATAGTTAAAGTTTGATCCGGCATTGAAATAATAAAGTATCGTTCTTGCATTTTGCAGAAATGGATAGTTACCGCAGTTCACAAAACTTTTAATGGAATTTGAGTATTAAAAATAAATTGCAAGACATAAATCCAGTAAAATCAATTATAATACAAAGTGTATACAAAACAGATTATACGGTTTCATCCGAAGAACCGGTCTCTACATCCCCCAGTGGGTTGATATCTCTAATTAGTTAGAACTAAAACTCAAGACATGATTATTGCTAAGAAAATGATTTTTTCCACTTTTAAATTTCTTTTCGCCTCTTCAGAAAAAAAATTGTTGGACATTTTTATAGTTCCGGAATTTGACGATCGCCAGATCAATTTGAAATGGTCGCCAAGACTTATAAAGGCGACTTATAAAGAATTTTAAGGCGCCAATCTAAGATTTTAGGCACCATGGCGACAAAATTAGTCACCAATTAGTGCCCTGTATAGGTTGATTAAATCTAATGTTCCTGAAGAAAAACCAACTAAACGTCACTTTTCGGTCATCTGTCACACCCTATCATACTCTGTATCTACTTAAAAAAATACAATGCAAAACTTTTTAGCTGCGCATGCGTATTGTTTGTCGCAAATCTGAAAAAGGCACGTTTGCTGGCCTTCTAACATATTTTGTTCTCAAGACTCGAATTATTTTTTTAAGGATAAAACCTGTAAACCTATATTTTTCTTTCCAAATTAAAATCAAAAATGAAAAGAATATGGGATTTGTTTAAATGTGCAGTATATGTTTACGCTGGACACAGATGTACATGACAGACAGTTGTGATATCTAAATGTAATCGCGTAACTTTACAGTTTCAAGAAAACTGATTTTTCAATCGGATAACTATAAGATGTATATATATAATCTTTAATCATGACCTTCCAACACGTTACAACTGTACATTTAAGCATAAAATTTGAGGCGTGTATAGTGCTAGTAAAAGGAGAATATAAATAGGAAGAAAATAACTCCATAAAACACATTCTGAAGTACAACAAATGAACAGCAAAATAATGTAATTCTCAATTACTTTTACTTCATAATATTTACTCTATCTGTTTCAAATCATGTGTGTCAAAATATTAGTTCTTTTGTACATGTAACATACCTTTGAAAACAAGAACATGATCTATTTGATAAGTATAGCCCAGATCTATTCTCATCCATGGATTACTCTCTGGCTTTGTCGCAGCACAGAATGGATTTATTGCTCTTTGGTCGCCATCAGTTAGTCTCATGGGACTGTATTTCTCATGGTCATCGCCAAAAACAGAACTGGAGGCAACAGACTTGTTTTGTGCGAAGTTTCCATAAGCTGAACGGATACCTTTACAAGAGGAAATTGGTAAAACCTATATATAAACTAGATTAATGATTTGGCTGTTTGAGTGAGTTTAACCGTATTTCCCGCCATTTCATATAATTTGCGTGCCTTATAAAATATTGTTTTTCTCAGGTTACTCTCGATCTCTCGAAGTTCAAGGGACCGTAAGAAAAATTCGAGAGATCGGGGGGTTCGAGAGATAGAAAGTGAATAAAATCCGGAATTTTCAGTTCCGATCATTATTTTTCTACTATTGTACTTACCGGAAGTATATGTTGATAATGTCATTGCACGTTTTCATTCGTATTTTACAGGTAATTTACTTGATTTCAACAATAATGAACGTATTTTGAATAAATAAAATGATTTTTTTTTTAAGTTTCAATATTCATTTGTTCTCATTTCATGATTACATGAAACCTGAAAAGCAATTGTCGATTTGGCTATCCCCCGGGCTTGATCGATCCTTCACCAGATTGCGCGTCATTGGTAATCAATTCTTGAGATAGGATTTTCTTGTCCAGTGTTTGCCAAAATTTGGATTGCGTAGTCTCTAATAATATTAAAGTTCGTAATCTATGAAAAAGTATTGACACGTTCCCTTAATTATTTTCTCAAAATTATCGCCTCATCTAGTCAAAAATTAAATGAGTTGTGAAGCGATTTGTTTGTAATTTACCAATTAACCAATAACTGTAACTATATCAACACTCGGACGACTCACAGGTGTAGTATCATCTATGTAAACACCCAATTAACAAGTCCGTCCCAGCCCCAGGCGTTCACTATTATCCAGATAAGTCCAAGCTGCATTAATTTTACGCTTGATTGGCGTGTATATATACGCAATCAAAACTTCGAGAGATAGAGAGTAAAAAACAATGAAATATGTGTAACGGGACCCAGGTCTTGGTTAGAGATAGAGAATTTCGAGAAATCGGGAGTTCGAGAGAGATCAGGAGTAATATAAATTTGCTTAGTTATATAGAAAAAAAAAACGGGACCGGAGGTTCACTTCGAGAGAATGAGAACTTCGAGAGATCGGAGTTCGAGCCATCGAAAGTCACCTGTATATAAAAACCATAGAAAAAATATGTAAAAATAAGTAGGATATAAACCTTAATTTATAATTGTTTTCAAATTAACATTTATCGGTTATCGTAAGCAATTCTTCGGTAATTTTCTTTTAGTAATTGGCTCAATTTCAGAATTTCAACTCAATCTGTTTTACACAGCAGTCGATTTAATACAATGTTTGATTCAAATCTATTATAAGAGTGAAATTATGTAACTTCCATAAATCTGGATTTGAGCCGTTTCCGAAAATTTATATCGAGTATCATAGCAAATCATGTATATAGTTTCAACACTACAGAATTTCAAGATTTAGATTTTTCACCTTCCTGCAAACAGAAACTTTGTCCTGATCGTGTTGTTACATGTTCACAATTGATTTCATTGCACTTTCCTGGTAAAGATGTGGATTTCTGCAATAAGCGAAATATATTGGAAGGATTTTTTTTTTTTGGACTATTTTTTCTATTCAAGAAAATATATTTAACCAAAAGGAGTCGAACATTTTAAAGTCCAGTTTCAAAGAAAATAATGGCAAATACATACTGATGTATACAAAAATGATTTGTGTTGAATTGTCTGTAAACAAGTGTAAAAATTAAAGGTTTTATATAGTGTTTTCAAATTCTACTTTCCCACATTTCCATTCTTACATACTATCTTATGTTAACTTCAGTGTTACAAATTTAATGACGCATATTTGTGAGTCACAAAAATTTGGATGCACATCTCTGTGAATGATATAAGATTGGATTCGATTTAATTATATAATTTTTATCCAAAGTTTTTTTTTTTTTTTTTTTTTTTTTTTTTTTTTTTTTGTCTATTCAGGAGTATTTGTTGAGAGGAGAAAAAGACACCAAAGGTTGATGAAGATCTCAGGTCCCAAAAAAAACTGAATATTCATCTTATCACACGATCAATTTAATTTTTGTGAGACAGGATTTTTTGGACAGGATTTCTTGTGATACAGGATTTTTTGATATTTTCACTCGTGTTTCATACTCGTGAAAATATCAAAAATCCTGTCCCTCTCGTGAAGTAAACATCATTTAATTTCTACAAAATAATTGATTCTGATTGGATAAAAATTCTTTTGATAACTGCATCAATAGAATTTGGAGTTCGCTTGCACTTAGCAGCCGGAACTACTTTGGCTGTCTTTACATGTATATTTCCCGCTTCCGGCAGTACATAAAGGCACAATTAAATACTTGTTCTCTAATAGATATTTTCCTGAATTTCGAAAATTGTCCGTTACGTTCCTGACTTATTTACTACTTTCGTTTCTTTTTGAATTATCCCCCTTTGCTAAACAAATCAGATCGTCTGCATGACAACAATACAGTAATGGGAAAGAAGGAAAGAAATCAGCATACCTATGTTAAATGTTTGACTTTGATATAACTGGTATGAACAATAGAACTGTGAAGAAATGTTTTTATGCTACCAATGCCGTTAATATGTTAATTCTTAGGAATCGAATGATCTAGAAAAACGACACTGCATGAATGAGGACGGAGTTCTTTCAATGTTAAACAGTAGGCAACAGACTCTTACAGATTTTACAGCATGGACAGGTTGTGATACATATTTATATGTTTGAAATTCAGATGAAGAGATGCGCAAATGAAATCCAAAATTTCTGTGACCTATAGAAAGAGTTGTTAGGATATCTGCGAATTTACGAACCTAGATAGCTTACCGGGGAAAATATACCCATTGGGATATAGCAAAAAATTAATAACACAACAGGTAAGTTTTCTGTGTTAAAACAAACCTGTTAATTATTGTTAGAAAAGGTTGGTAGTGACACGACAATATTTGAGAACGTTGTTTCTTCGTTAGGCCTATAGCCATTTTGAATTTCAGCAACATTGTTGTGATATATTCCTACGCACTGTTTTTGATGCGTAAATTTTATAGTAAACTGAGGGAAAGTTTCATTTTATTATTTTAAAATCATAATTAAATGATAAGAAATGAAAGTAATATTTTTTTCTTTGACCGACGTATCAAAGAACAAATTTGGACAGAAAACGTTTTCATCAATGCGCTACGCGCATTGATGACGTTTTCCGTCCAGATTTTTCCTTTGATACGTCGGTCAATGAAAAAAATATTACATTCATTTCTTAATTCATATCCAACTACAAAACATTGAATATCCTTTATATATTCTTTGTTTTATTTTTTTCTTAAACGATCAGTCCTTTCTGACATATTTTATTTTATCAAAAAAACTCTGCAATATGACTACTCCACTGAACATTGTAGACATATCATTGTAGTGTTTTTATTCACTTTCAAATAACTAGCTAGGTACCGGTCACGGTAGCCTAGTGGTAGGGCGCTCGCTTCGTGATCGGGAGGCCCGGGTTCATTTCTCGTTGGCCACGCAGCGTCAAACCTAAGACGTAAAAATAGGTAGTGACTGTTCTTTCGCCAAGTACCCGGCACTAGAACTGAAAGTTACGGGTCTTTCGGATGAGACTTTAAAAACCGAGGTCCCTTGTCACGGTAGGCGTTGGCACGTTAAAGAACCCTCACTGCTCAATGGCCCTGAGTGCCGAGTATAGATCTAAGTTTGAAGCCCTTCACCAGCATACGGTGACGTCCCTATATGAGTGAAAAATTCTCGAATGGGACGTTAAACAATATACAATCAATTAAATAATTAGGTCATTGACCTACTTTTCATGCTTGTAGTTTCTGAGTATTTCTCTGGAAAAACCTCATTTTTTTTTACTTTATGACCAATATTTTCTTTATTAACAAAATATAACAAGAAAACTCTGAGTAATGAAAATTCAAATATGATAGAAATGGAAAAGTGTTGTTAAATATATATAAACAATTAGAATATGAACGATAAACATTTTATTCCATTCCGAGTTTCCTCCGTCAATTTTCTTAATGACAGGACCTCTAAACTATTTAAAGGCCCAATTTATTCATATTTCCCTGATTCTGAAAGTATTAAATCAGGTCAAGGATCAAATTATTGAGAATTGTTATCTGAAATGGTTTTCTGTCTCTACTTTTGATATTCTTCTTTCCATGCCATTCAATTATTTGAAATAATACATGAACTTCATATATAATACTTCAAATATTCTTTGTAAAATTATGTTACAATCCATGCAGAATCTTCTTTAAAATATTGCAAGAAAAAAGTTGTGTTTTTTTTAAGTAAATGAAAAATTAAAATTTTATATAATGATAATCCTGACCCACTCGTGAAATAATTTCTATATCCAACTACAAAACACTTCATATCCTCTATATATACAACGACAAATAATTCTCTAATATTCAGACAATTCGAGTTAATAAGAAGAAAGTGGCAACAGGTATCAGAGAAATTATTTTCCTCTCTTATCCATCTAGCTGACAATGATATATTACTAACTAAACTTCATTACACTTTAAGAATTTATTTAAAAGAGACAGTTGTTATGGGTTTAAAAAATTTATCAAAATTGTAACAATATCTTCCCTGTCTCTCATTCAATACTGAATTCTTACCTTTTCAGTTTTTAGTGATGTGTTCGTCTTATTGATAATAATGTGTTCAAATCCAGATTCTTCCAATAAAAACAGGGAATTGACTTCGCTTGAAAACTGAATAAGTTCACATTTCAGGTGTGCTCTTTCAAAATTAATTGAAAGACAAGATGGATAATTAAGGCATTTCTTTATGCACATTTTTCTTCCCATTGTACTGAATGTCTTAAAGGTGAATTTAAACCTCATGTTATTTTTCATGGACGTTTGCATGCCTGACATCTCACATTGTGAAGTAACACATATTTGAAACAATTGACTCCATAAAAAGGTAAATCGAAAAATAGTAAGAATCTTCGTCATTGTCTTTTTTTCCCAAAATACAATTGTTATTTAATTCTGTAAAAAGGTTCTGGCTTAAAATTCACAAGCTGTGATATCACTACGGCCACGTATAAGTTTGTGTTATTACACTATTTCACTGCTCTACTTATATAATTATGAATTCATCTTTCTCTTCGGAACCCCAAACTCCATGTACATAGAATTTGAATGATTAATTGAGTAAAAATACCAGGAAATGCTTTTGTGCAGGTTTCCACATCATTTCAACAATAACACTGTTTTCAAAACCATGGTGAATACCAAACACAAAATATACACAGTAAAAGAAACGACCAATCATACTGATCTTAATTTGAACCTATTTACAACCCAATGCAAAAGATGAACAATGCTTAAACTTTTGTATCAAGTTTACTGAATTACATAATTTTTACTTCATTGAAGGAACGTAACACGATAAAAACAAGCCATTCATTCTTTAATTATTAATGTTAATGCTTTATCTATACGACATTCTGCGTAGAAGTGAAATATACCATGTATTTAATTGTTTTGTTCTTATATGGAATACTGCAATTTGACTACAGTTTCAATTGTTCAACGATTTTCATTATCTCGGGGGGGGGGGGGGTCTGTGCATTACGATGAAATATTTCTTAAAGTTTTTCTCAACTCAGATTACACTTTTAATTAAATATTGGAGTACCCCTGTTGAGCATAGAAAATCTGAATTGCCCATCAGCTGCGAAGCATGACCAAAGTGCTTTGTGAGTTCAAAGAGCATTATTGTTGATGATAATTTTTCTGCAAATCATATAAAATGTGCATACGATGCAGATTTAATAAAGTACAATATATATAGCTAAGAACTACATGTACTTTTAAAGAAAAACATTAATATTATTTAAATGATTCTGCTTCCCATTAAAGATATTTCGAAAAGTTGAATTCCAGTTAAGGGGTTTATTCTGCTCTTCGAATAGTGAACATACTAGTATATGTCTTTTACTTTAAATTAAATTCTAAAAACCTTCTTAAGAAAAAAAACATCTGTTAATGCAAGTTAAAAATACGTCATGAAATAATACTTTGCTTCAAGTGAATATTTTCTCCTTTATTTCTCATGAAAACCTAATGTTGTTTTCCAATCAATGAACACATTCAGCTTTTTAGTAAGATAGGTCATTGAAAGCCGTATGTATGCATAGCGGGGGGGCTCGGGGACGCCTCCTCCCCAATAATTTTGCCGATATACATTTGTATATAAAACACAATCCAAATCAAAAAGAGAAAATCAAAATTCCCTTTTTTTACCCAGTTTTTACAATCTGAAGTCATTTTCGTCTGAAAATTCTTATATGTGTTCACTTTATGGTGATTTTTTTTGGTTTTTGAGGAACGTTCCTCTCTATACATTTCAAATTATTTGTTACAATAAGACATTTGAGGAACGTTCCTCTCTCTTATAAACTCGTATTTTTAAATACCTCATGAATCTTACCACATCAGGCAGAGAGATGAACTTTCCTCTCTCTTATAAACTTGTTCTTTAAATACCTCATGAATCTTAACACCTCGGGCATTTGAAGAACGTTCCTCTCTGAAATTTACCTATATTTTTAAACATCTTATAGACATTCACGTACGAGGAACGTTCCTCTCTCAGATTTCTATCTGTTGATACCTTATTCATAAAGTTTATTACAGCAGGCATTTGAGGAACGTTCCTCTCACAAATGGTTGCATTGCTGTTGAGTACTATATCTTGTGAAGCTTAAGACTTGCATTTGAGGAACGTTAACGTTCCTCTCTCAAATTCACATATCTGTAGACAACTCATGCATGATCAAACATCAGACATTTGCGGAACGTTCCTCTCTCAAGTTTGCCTATATCTTTAAATATCTTACACTGCATGTTTACGTATGACACATTGGAGGAACGTTCCTTTCTATGCATGCATAAAGCATTGAAGGAACGTTCCTCTTTAGCACATGAAATGAGTACATATTTGTAGAAACTTTGTTTGTTTTTTATCCGCAAACACTATAAAAAATATGTATATGAAAAGTCATTTTGACATTTTAAAAAAGTATATTTTAATAAAGCTATGTTAAAGCATTATATCAATCATGCACAAAGAAATATTTGACTTAAGTACAAGTATGTGCAATGTACAGTATACATGTATCAACACGAATTCAAGGGACTTGGATGACATATGATGCATTTGAGATTAGTTCTAGGAAAATTAATTGCAGAACAAATGAAAGGGCTTCCATATTTAATATATCAAAACTCCAAAATCCCCAAAATAATCTTCCTCTCTGAATAATTGTTCTGTCATTGCACACATTTTCAAGAACATTTAAAATTCAACATGATGTTAAAACTTATTACAAGAATTCCAATGTTTTGTTGTACTTGATTTTATTGTATGTTTAAATTATTCAATGTTGTAACAAAAACTCTTGCCTAGTACATACTAGTATATTAGGAAGTATAAAGTGCCATAGTTACAAAATACAATTCAGGAACTTCAAAATTTTCATTACTACTTCTAGAAAGCATTTCAAACAATATGCTACCCTTTCACTGAATGGCATTCACATTACTTTCTACAATGTCTACCTGGGTTAACACCCATGTTTTTTTAATTTTAAACCAGGAAACTAAACCATATCATTGAGGATCTCCATGGTTCTTTCTCAGTTACATCTTCCTTTATACCGGAAATAGGTAGAAAACCTGTATCCAATTCCTTGGTCTCCAAAGGTTCATAACTGCTTTTTTCATCAACAAATTCTTTAGTGTCATCATCTGTTGGAAAAATGTCACATTCAGTATCACATTTTAAAATTTAAATAAAGTAATAAATTAAGGGCCCTCCAGATTTTCAAAATTGTGATTTAAAGATAAAGTAGCAGAGATAGAATATTAGAAAATATTTGTATAGTGGTAATAAGATTACGTATGATGTCTCATCTAAAATGAGATTTAAAAAACCAGTGAAAAATGGAGAACTTGGATTAAAATTTTGAAATTTTATTTGCTATGAATTATGAAAATACATGTATAATCTTGAAAAACAAAAGGTAATGTTTTAAGAGAAGTGTTTTTTTTTTTGTGAGGTCTTAATTGAAACCCATACTCCTCACATAAATTATCTTTATTCATCCTTTCTTTGAAATAGATATTGTATCTTAGACATCACATTAGAATCTCTTTCACAAGTTTTAATTTGTTATCTGTTATATATGATTATAAGGTCATAATTTGGAAAAGTTTCATTTATCCTTTTCCAAAGAAAAAGTGCAGCTGTCAAATTTTATTTCATGAGTTTTAAATATGTATTCTCCTTTATCTACAAGAACCTACTTTAATTCTGATTCTCATTTTTACTTTGCATTAGTAACCTTTCAGATAAACTTCAAAGACTGAAATTTGTGTCCTAATAAAAATGAAGTATTGACTCTATCATGTTTATAGTGATCTGTCTATTAACACCCTCCCCCCTCTCCAGACCATTCTTTATACAACTGACTTTGACATATTGCTCGTGCCCTGTTCACAGATTACTTGATATCAATCACTGCCAATCATATATGCTAGTGAAACATTATGAGATTTGCCTTAAACCAGCTCTTGCAACTATATCCCCTATCTATCCCCTGAGACTGCAGGGGACAGGCTTCATGGACAGTGAAGACCAGTGCTGATGATATGATGATATCTGATTACTTGCTGAGAGTTCATATCAGTCAGGGTCTAATAATAGATACAGATATGCAGTTAGAAGATCGAAGCAATTAATTAAGAGAATTTAACATTCTGTAATTGAACTGATTAGACAATTTCAATTTCAACTCCTTAGAAATTAGGATAATGTCAATATATTTAAAAAGACAAAAGGGATGTAGGTAATGTAGCTTACAATTGCAAGTCATTAGGGCAGAATTTAATTGTTTTTAACTAACTAAGAGGTTTTTTTTGTTTTTGTTTTTTTTTTTTTTGAAAATTATTTTTCCACTTAAATTCTTAATCAGAAACTATATTTCCACACTACTGTTTTAATTGTCAAAGCAATCATAGTATACTATATTGTATCACTAGTAAAAACTTATTTTAAAAAATAACCTACTAGGCACAGATAATATATATTAAGGCCAATAGGTGGCAGTTATCCTAAAACACGAAATCAAATTGCCAACTGGTGACAAAAATTAAAGCACTGCAGCTATTCTTAGCTATGCTTAGCACTTTAAAAAATTGAAGTATTTCTAGAAAGCAAACCAAACAGCATTCTGTGGTCAATGTATAGAAGTATAATTTTTATATTCCCAGTCCCTTAGGTTAATAATGCTCTTATTGGTCAAACATTACACACTTCAGAGCAATCTTTAAAAATAAAATAGATATAAAATTTATAGATAGCATAAGAATACTTATCATTTGGCCTCAAAAAAGTGTTTTACATTTTACATTATCTTAACCTTGTAAGTGTGGTAGATGTAAATGTTAATGACTACAATGATCTAATTAGGTAATAAGGTCTTGACCACAAATCAGGTTGGCTGGATTGGGAGAGGGTATCAAGTTTTGACATTTATTGCTGAGTTTCAGAACAGGATAAATATCGGAATAAATTGACAATGTTCACTGCCAGTTATTATAAGTCAGCAAGTTGGGCAGTTCCAATACTGAGTGCAGAATTTTATGTTCAATGAATAGTTTCTAAGTCACGTCCTTTATGTAAACTGTTACATGGTAATACGAAATTGAACTTTGTAAGAAACTTTGGACATCATTTTTGTGTTGTCTGTAGAGCAGAGCGGCACTTAGGGATCTCTTTACCCAGCGTCTGTCTGCCTGTCCATCCGTCCGTCCGTCTGTCACACCTTATATCTCGTGAACTGTAAAAGGTATGGATTTCATATTTTGCACATGTATAGCTCTGCACGACGGCTTTTGTATTTTACAATAGTTACCGACCTCCTGACCCTTGAACTTGACCTTTGACCTACTTTTTAAAATAGTTCACAGTGCCGATATTCAACTTATTTTTGAC